ACTATGACAATTTACCTCATGATTGAATAATATGTATCATACTTTCTGTCATTATTGAGTTCCTACTTAAATTATCTTAAATGTGGACTTTGTACTATTAATTTGAGAGAGGAATACTTCACGTATAGTTACTAATATATGTTTTATAAACTGCCTATTTTTGTTGCAATAAACGGAAGAATAGATCTGTTGTATTTTTTATATATATATAATTGTTTTTATCTATGGAATCCTATTTTAATTAAGATTTAAATTGAGCTCGTAATCACAAAAAATAAAATAGAAACAATTTTATTCATACAAAAAACCTGCTAAATCCACTTCAATTTTGAAAATACAAAAGCTAAACCCTGCTAAGTTAGAAATTCGCCAATAAAACCATAAAAAAGTAATTTTTTTCATTCGTTCTGGATTAGGGCCATAGAAAGTCGCGCGATTAACAAGCTATATGTAAGTTTTGCCCCTTAGACTATGAGTTAGAAATATATTTAGTTGTTTGCCTCTACAGTAAAATATGTTTTTTGGTCGTTTGCAGGTTTACACTCTAAGGCGACGAAATATTCTTTTGATTTACATATCTATATAAAAAACAGGGGTATAATTTTTTTGGTATAGAACAATCCTAGGGGGTGAGAGCATTAAAATTCCGGCTGTACTTTTGTTGGACCATCCTAGTGTTCTCATATATGCACATACATATTTATACACACAAGTATGATTTATCAAATATTATTTATGGTCACTTGGATATTTCCGGATCTTAAAATGCGCATTAATGAATTGGGAAAAAAACGACCAGCTAATAGCTCCTAGGGGAAGTACTAAACTTAAATTTCCTATGCCTATGTCCATAGTTCATACTTATGTATATGACGCCGCTCATTATCATTCCCACTTGGTATTGGCTTTGGGCATACGAAGCAGGGTTCTTGTGAATATTCGTATTTGCATTCGCAACCGCGGAGCTTCTGCATTAATTTTGACATTCGCATTCGCTTTCGTATTCGCATTATTTGCTCCTTCGTTATAGGTTTTTATTATAAACATATTCCGATTCGTGCTGATTGTTTCTCTATACTCTAATGAAGGAAAATGATCATATGCTTTTAAGTAAATACAATTTATGTATAGGGGCTCGTGATTTTTTAGTACGATGCCCGAGTTTTCTCTCGACGGCCCTGACTACACCTGGTATAATTTCACCATTCGTTTAACAAGGTAAAAGGCAATGTGTGTGTCATGATTGGAAAAGATTGGTTAAGCCATTACCAAGATACACATATGTATATATGATATTAAAAGTTTGTGATGTCACACGTTGTTTCTAAAATTTTACAAGAATAAATCCTGTCAAATGCAGGTAATACTTTTTGTAACCGGTTAGTAAAATTCCCGTAAACCGTCTTCACATTCTGCGCTCTCGTGAAACGGGTAAATTTGTTTGGAAGTCGGTAAAATAATATTGCCCACGTGAAATACGCAATACAAGAAGTTTTACTAAAATCCATAGCTGAATTGCTGAATATATTGATAGCGTTACTAATGTACCTAGAATTGCGATTACAAGATGTGCAGACCTTTTGCAAGTACCGTTATATGAAAGGTGGACTCGGTTGTTCTACGACTTCAAATGTTTTTTAGTGTTTTGCTCAAAAAGAGCTAAATTAGTATACGTATGTATGTCCAAATTTCGAGGAAAATTGTTAACTATGGGGTGATTGCCTCGGGTTTTCAAAACGGGTTTTAGCCTTTTTTAGGCGCTTTTTTCAAATCTTGAATATTTATATAATTGACAGTGGAACTAGCAAATTTTGATTAATTTACATAATATCCTAAAACGGCAGGCTTAAAGGGTGTTTGGATGAGGCGATTTTACAGGCAATTTTTAGGTAAGAGCAACAATGGCCTGGTATGAACGGCCGTTCAACTAATCGCTCTTAATGAAATTGGGAGATCAGCCAACTTTTAATTCCACTAATCGCCTCTGAAATTGCGTCATGTAAACAACGTATTAGGAAAAGGACGAATCCGATGTACGTGGGCGTGTGCAGAGTTGGATAGTGTCGTCGCAGCGCACTGTGTTCTGTTTTGGGAAAAAATTGACATTTTCGAAGTATCTCTATTTGCTTTCAACACAAATTTTTTATTTTTTTTTTTTTTATGTAATTTGTAAACATAAGGAAAGTATAAGTTTTAGAGACTTATACATACATAGCCTCTCAGCAAAGCTGAGTATATAACAAAACAAATGCAAGTACTTCCGAGTATTTTCCAAGAACTTTGAAAGAGGAGGATATACAATTCAGCATTGCTCGTTATCGCATAGGATTCCCTAGAACATCTTTCCGCATTCATATACCTAAGTATATTTTTAAGTTATTTATACATAGATATGTATACACGTAAAAGAAATTGTTTAAAAGACCAACGATCTTCGATGAGTTATTAAGCAAGTTTTTCTTCATATATCCTTCAGCTGCTTTAATAACATCGGGCGGGTTAAATGTTGGCTTAAGAAACCTTTAGCTTCTTTGAAAATTTGTTAACTTGCTATACAGGGAATACGCTCTGAAAAGGTAAAAAAAAAAATATTGGCATTAAAAGCTTTATAGGCAGGGCTTTGCTGATATCCTTTATGTTAATAAGTTTCTTTTTCTGGAAATCCGGAAATCCATTTTGTCCAGTGCCCTGTATAAACGGCAGTAAGTCGAGAAATGCAGTGCGTTTTGCGCAGTAGGTTGACCACAGAATCCTGCAGACTTTAGAGGATTGTAGGCCCTCCCATCTACTATTAGCCACAATTTTCCAGCCACTGAGACATTCAGAGCCGAACCCTCCCTGGCTAACTCGTCGGTCATCTCTTTGCCGTGAATACTGCTGTGCCCCTGATCAGTGTAACGACATGCCTATCAGCTAAAGCCATAATGTTCTTTCTGCATTGTTTTATTATGATGGAGGTTGCCTTTATTTAAAAACGGAACACGAAAGAGAAAGTGGCAAACAAACGCAATTCGTTTTTGGTATAAGCGACAACACCAATAGATGTTTCCCAAAAATGTTTCACATTTCCTAAGCTACTGAATGAATGTCGGCCCAGAATAAATTAAACAAACGCATACAGATAAATGGGGAATATTGGAATATGTGTGTGAAGTCCACCATAGTCCGACTTTTGTCAACTCTAGTACACCCATTATCAACATTATAAAAGCACCTAAACGATTGAAAATTATACATATAGAAGTCTTTAACCTTTTTACATAAATTTCCAAAAACCGCTTAAAAATATCAGCTATTCACCATTTGAAATCATTAATGAAAATACAAAGATGCACTGAAAAATTAATAGATGGGCGTTGACGAAGGCAAACCGAATGGAAACGCCTATAAGATTTTCCATATGTCTGAATGTACACATACATATGTAACTATGTACACAGAAAGCAAGAAAATATTTGTGTAATTTAAAAAAGCC